CGGTTTACGTTTGGAGTTTTCACAATACTTTTGCAAAGCGCATTGCAGAGATCTTTGGTTTTGGCTTTGCTTTGCTGTTTTTTGATAAATCGATTATCGCATCGTAGGAGGCAGTGGCAAAAACAAAGCGGCGAGCCAAAAAAAAAAATAGACAATAATCGGGTCTGATCAAAGGTCGGGGGTCAGAATGGCCAACGTCATCATCTCGATCATTATCCTGTGCTCTGAATGAAAAATAAAGGGAATCTCGATTGTAGATCGTCATCGATCGCCGCAGTCTTGTGGTTGACATTTTTTCGTTTTGGGTCGGTGACTTTGCTTTGAAGATATGAAATGACACCAGCCAGCCAAGCCGAAAACCTCAATTTTTAACCTCAACCTCTAGATTTTGACCCCGCGCTCCAGTTTTTTTTTTTTGTCTTTGTGGTTTCGCTGCCTTTGTGTCTGCTTTGATTTTCGGCTCTGATCTGATTTTCCCGATGCGATTTTTTAGTAAATCCCCGTCTTAGTCGGTATTTTGGCCATCGTCACCAGGTTCCCAGGACCATGAGTCTTTCAATTTGTAAGATCTGACCAAGAACCCAGAATATAATCAAAGAGATTAAGGAATATCCATTCTTTAAGCCATTGAATAAAATCAAAGAAAGTCGGGCGCTTTAATGTAACTTATCTCTTGAATAACCAATTAAAAGCTATTGTGGATAAAATATAACAATATTAATATAAGGCAGAAAAAAGTTAATTTAACCCTTGAAAATGATTTATTTTGTTTAATATTCCAATATTTCAATGTTTCATTATTATGCTAGATCCATAGAATATTTTTGAATCTGATTGCGAAATATACCATATGCGTGCATATTGTACCTAAGCCTCGCCTCAAAGATGATCATGTTTATGTCCATTAAGTAAAAGTACAGAAATCCGACTTGAGATATTTTCCTCCCCCGGATCTTCCTCCTAAATTCTCCCACTTCCTTTACACTATACTACTATATCCCTCGATATCTGGCTGTGTTTTCGCTGCCGGAGATCGTTAGTCCGTGACATTTGTCGCGCCCTTTTAACAACAAACACGTGTTCGTCCGTCTCCGGTTTTTCACGCCATTTCACTTGTTCGTTTCGCAAATTTCCGCGCGAACGAGGAAACCCCGAAAGTTTCCAAAAATAAGAAGGGAACACAACAGGTAGAGGATTTTCCACGCCCAGTGGTGGGCAATTCCTAGCGACACCTTCGCATCGGACACGCTAGTTTTCGAATACCCAATGCTAATGTCCTGCCAGGACAAGAATGCCATAAAGCTGCTGGAATTTGCGTGTAATGGAGTTCCGAATCTCCCGCATCTTGACCTTTTAAGTGTGGATGTGGATCCTTGAAGGAGATCCAAAGATTCACGCATCAATGAACCATTTTCTGGGTACACTATATGTGTGTAAAGTGAAACGCGCACTTCTTCTCATCTTTTTTCGGTGATGATGTCGTGAAATCAGCAGCCGAATAAAAGAAGAAATCACTTTTCATTCGAGGACAATGGACCACAGGATATTCCAGTGAAGTCTTTTCATTGTGGATCCGTGGAAAGCGAAGCGCGCATTGTCTAGCGTTTGGAATCTGGCTTTTGCTTGCTCTAGAAACGCTCTGACATTGATTGCCTCTGATAGTTTATTGGTACCCGGATAGTCGGCCGGGGAAAAAAAGAAGCAGAAAAATAGAGATTCGGACACGTGTGTGCAGCATTGTCTCGTATGCGCCATTGTTGATTCTGCGGTTAGTTTCTCCAGTTTCTTCAGTTTCTTCAGTTTCCCATCATGTCATGTCAACAATCGAGTCAAAGTCCCCATTTTAACGATCCCGAAATCCCGAGCTCTGAAAAGTCATTTAACTACCGTCAATTCACACAGTGCTAAATGTAGCATGTAGTGATCTAGTGATCGATACAAAACTCGACCAAAAAGTGAAATGAAATGAATCCTTGCATTGATAAAAGAACAAGATTGCGAGGGTGCAACACGGTAGATAGCAGATTTCTAGTGATCCACGCGGGTATCATATCATGCTGTTAGCTAATCACTGGACTGCATGTGGAGCTGACAGGCCAAATGAGATGTTTGCTTATAGGGAAAAGAGGTTCTGCACTGCTAGAACCTGATATTGGTGAGATTAGATTGTGCATTCCCTAAAAAATAAGTTCCCAAATTGTTAACCAAGGCACTTTCTCTAAAGAGATCATATCATCAGGGATCTAATGTTACTATATCAGAATTTAAAATTTTGATTATGTTTTTAAACGCTGTTAAATAATCTCCATGGTTTTTGTTATAATATATTATTATGTTCAGGCCTAAAAATTAAATTTTTAGTCGCATATTAAATGCAAACTTGGGCGCATTTAGCAATATCTGTAATTTTCAAGTATGCAGTTTTAAGGACAATTAATTTGGTTAAGCACTTAAGAACTCTATCAATTTGTTGATGACTTGCTTCCCCAATTGACTTGTTTCCTTGTTAGTTTAAGCAGTAAATGTTTTGGCAGCAGCATTCGATTCCTGCTACCTTCCTGGTATCCAAACACTTGGCCACTTCGTTTGAATCGTTTGGGCAACAACTCAACTGGTGGGTCAGACAGATATTGGATCCGGTGGACTAGTAGCACTCGATGTCGCCTCATTAACGAGCTACCAGGAAGGAAAGTCAGTGTCCAGAATTATAGAGGCTACCACTACCGCCTGCCACTTGACGCCTGGTTAAGTGCGAAATTTGACAAGAGGACTTGATCAATGGATGGTCCATCGAGTAGAGCACTTCCCAAAAACCGAATTGGAAAAGGGGAAAGGGAACTCCAGGGATCGTATTTTGACACATGGGTCATAAATCTTGGCCAGCGAAGCGATCGCGACGGCGACGCCGTCATAAAATCACATAACTCAAACTACAATTTATACAAGAACATGAACAAGTACAAGTACAAGTACAAGTAGAATTACAAGTGTCCTTCGAGTCCTTGGTTCCTGCGTTTTAGGTTTGGGTTTCCTTTGAATTGCGACATGATAGAATAACATTTGGCTCGTATTTCCGAGGGGCGCATCTACAAAAATAAATAAACGACCGAAGGCCGAAGGACTTTTGTGTCTGGCCGAAGATGCAAAACAAATACGCACTTCCTGCGACAAGGACACTAAAAGAAGTTACTTCCTGAGGCCCCGAAAGTGAATTTGTTGCAGCAGTGTTCAGTTCTGTTCAGTTCAGTTCAGTTCAGTTCAGTTCAGTGATCTCTGTCATTTGAGATTGAAACTCAAAGAGCGGGGATCAGCTAGCGAAAATGGATCCTTTTTTGCGAGCACCGAATAGTAGTGAGCTAAGATTGCATAAAACTCTGGACATACAGCCTATTAAAGGACATTGGCTTAGCCCAGTATTTTGACACCTATTTTGGACCCGGACAGGTCCTGAATTCGCAATCCCGGATCTTTGGATATGCTAAGCTTCTTTTGATATCCGGTAACAATGGCCCACGCGAGAGTTTCACTCTCCTTCGTCTTCCTCTCGTTTCCTGGTTTTATCCTTAAGCTGACATACAATCACATTTCGCATTGTCCTCGTCCACTACCTACATATCCTTCGCCTCCTTCCTCTTCCTTCTTTTTATTTTTATTTATTTTTATTTTTTTTTTTGAGGAAAAATATTGGAATTTTCGGCAAGACGATATGCTTCCTGTCTCTAAGACAGACAGTCAGACAGACTCTCCCTCTCTCTGTTTATCACATCCTCGATCCGTGGCGTTTAATTTCCCTACCCTAGATGCACGTGTCCAGCGCGCAATTGGCAATTTGCATAATTGTGCTGCGGGTCGGTGGGCGTGGCACTTCTTGCCTAGATGACATTCCTGCATATTTGATCATCTTGTTTTGTGTGGCACACGCCCGAAAGTTTCACCTTCACCTCCTTGGGGTGGGTTTAATATTATTTGTAACTCGGGGGTTAGCGGAAGTGCATTTCACGGCTCGGCGACGACTCTACTGCGTCCAGCTTGATAAAAAGCTGTATCGCGGGGTGCGCCAGCCACGTGGATCGATCCTACTACGAGTCCTGGATCCTTGGACTAGGACCACTTCATCCTCTCAGGCGTGACTGCCTATTTCCGGGCAATTTACGCGCCATTAACAATGCTCGGCCAAATTGAAACTCGTTAGGGAACGAAACACGAAAATATTCGCTGTTGTTTCCGGTCGGGTGTTGAATTCCTTGTGGATTGTTGTCATGGTTTCTATGCTCCTGCCGAATAGTGAGTCATGTCCAGGCTTTAAAATTAATTAAAGTAAAGAAAATACTAGGCACTTGTATCAAGTACGTATATTCTCATTAATAATCTGAAAATCAAACGTGATTGATATGCAAGTAGTTATAAGGCACAAACTCCAGTTAAATTAGAAAGAATTTATAGGACCAAAAGGGCCCTTCTAAAAATGACAACCGTGCTAAGTCACTAAAGATCCCTGTATTTGTTGGTAAATAATTTAAAATTTGTATATTCAAACTAAAGCACCCATTAATAAGTACCAGGAGTCCTTGAAAATACTCGAAATCTAAGAAGCCGACTCTAGTTTGATGGTCATCTACACGATCGTTCCTTTTTTGTTTATTTTCATAAAAATATTTTTTTGAAGATTGTTTTGATTTTATTCAGGAACAGTTTTTCGCCGGCTATGTTGAGATCTTTAAAATGTTTAGTTTGAACCGCAAAGAAATGTTGATTTCAAATCAAAGTTAAATATTTAATCACGAAGTTTATTTGGTTTACTAGTAAAAGACTCTTTCATGTGAACCATTTTGGGGATCATTGAGCTGTAATATCTGTAATAAGAGAAAGTGATCTCAGCTGATCATATGGTTGAAGCTGTAATTGTAAAAGTTTTTCAATAAAAAGATTTGGTTTTCAATTTATGTTTTCATATTGTTTGTATGTTTTTATTTTAAGCCTTAAAACTAGTTAGTTTAGTGTCTTCCATGCTTATAACAAAACTTAGAACTATGAAAAAAATATGTGTTTTATATCATTGTCTTCCATGGTCTTAAACTAGTTCAAAAAAAAAAGGTTTTGTAGAATCTGGGACTTGGTTTTTGTTGGTCTTTCCACTCACTAAGGCAACAGTTTAAGTTATTTACAATTTGTACAAGTTGTTTTTTGGTTTTTTTTTTTGTGTTTTTGTGGGGGTTTTGGTTCTGGTGAGATCCACTCACTGTTCCTGCCACGATGAAATGTAGTCGAGGAGCTCCTCGTCGTCGGGCTGCTCGTCGCTGAAGCTATCGAAGGACTCGAATTTGAGGTCCTGCTCGGGTAGCTCCTGTTTGACATAGCCTCCGGAGATCTCGGAACCGGAATACGAAGGCGTGGGCGAGGCGGAGTGATACGAATGCGCTTGGACGGAGTTCAACTGGGTGGCGCCCAGCAGGAACTGCTGCGGACTGTCCAAACTATCGTTGTAGTCGTTGTAGCTGCTGCCATCGTTGCTGCTCTCATCGGCCGAATTGTAAATGGGACGAGACGTGCCAGTGCCATCGTCCAACATGTCCTGCAGTCCTCGAATGTACTCGACCGCAATGCGCAGAGTGTCCACCTTGGATAGCTTTTTGCTGGCACCACGTCCTCCATTCGACAGCGAATTGATGACGGTCTGTGGCAAGTGCTGGCGGAGATTCACAAATCCATTGTTAACCTGCTTGACACGATTGCGCTCACGGGCATTTCGCCTTGCCACCGAAGGCAACTGCTCGCCGTATGGCATATTGTTGTAGTTGAACTTCTTTTTCTGCGACGACGACATCATGGGTCCCACATTCGATTGCTGCTGGCCACCCTGCTGCATATTCTGCAGTTGGCTGGTGCCCAATGGCATTTTGGGGGCAATCAGCTGCTGGTGTTGCTGCTGTTGATTGTGGTGTTGCAGCAACATCATGTTGCCGTTGGTCAGCTGATAGTGCTGCTGCTGGAAGTTGCTGCTGCAGATGCTCGTCATGGTAATCCTTGCGAGAGTTGTCTGGCTTTGCTGTTTGCAGAGATGATGTTGACTGTGTGGAATCAGATTCCGCAATGATAATTCCTGGTCCTGGCTTAGGGCCTTAAATACTCGCAGAGGCAGAGTCGCGGAGGCGAAGTGCGCCGTCGGCAGCGGCAGCGACTTCGGCAGAGGAGCAACAGGGGTTGAATCCTGGCTGCCTACCTACCTGCCCTCGAAAAACCCGAGCCGAGTCCTTTGCACAAGTGATCGTTGTCGCAGTACCAGTGCCCAGGGATCGTAATAATTTTTCCCCTCTCTCTCTCTTTTATTCTAGGGGTTCGTTTTCATTTTTGTGGTGGGTGCCTAACTCCTACTGTCCCTGTCTACCTACCTATCCCTTTTCCACTCTCTCTCGCTGTCCTTCTCCCACACACGCACACACCTAGTTGTGTCCTTTGTCTGGAAAATATATTTTTCCTTTTTAAGAAAATCGAGACTTAAATCTCGGATCTGCAAGATCCTTGTCATGGCCAAAAGAAAAAGAAATAAGACTGTGAATGCACTTCCACTTTTGTCGAATGTCGTTTGCATTGAAAGCGAAAAATAAAAGAGAGTAAGAGGAGGAGGGGGGTGCAGGGGGAACTTGATATAAAATGTGATCCATCATGTGAAAGAAGACGAAAACGAAAAGGCGGGGGGCGAAAACGAAATGAAAAGACGATGTCGTAGCACTTTCACTGTCTCCAACAACTGCGTATCCAATATTTTGTTTCCCTCCCCAGTCCTTGAACTTTTTCCCGGGTTCTCTGCTATGGTGTACCCTCTTTAATCTCTTTTCTGGCCTCGCCGCATTTGACACGTGCTTCCGATCAGTCCGATATATATTAACATAAGCTCCAGAACAATAATAATATCGCAAGGCGGCGGCGACAGACAAATCCTACAAGTGTGTGCCATATCATGAATACCAAGGGCGCAAAAATATGGAGGGGTCGAGAATTAAAAACTAAAAACAAAACGATCATGAATTCATTGGATATCACCAGCAGTTTGCGGAATCGAAGTTTAAACTTCTACTTGGTTTTAAGAAAACCCAGGCAAGCGATCTGCATTTCGACGCTACACTTGGAAAAAAATATAAATTAAGTGTCTAAATAATTCATCAAATTTGAATAAATTTTATTTTATTTGGATGGATTTCTAAAATCAAATTCTTATATCATAAGGAACATTTTCAAATTAAAAATTAAATTAAATAAATTAAATACAAAGCGTAATAATGTCATCTTATAAACTAGTTTTTAGTCTCATTAAAAAAAATTTAATTAAAAAAAAAACAAATTGAATGAAAATTAAATTTCTTTGAAATCTATATAAAATTTTTTTGTTTCTACTCTATTCAAATCTACAATGTTCAATCAAAGAAATACATCAATGTAAATAAAAATAAACAATTTTTTCCAAGTGCAAGTGTTGCTGCCCATTAACCGACTTGCTTGTGACTTGTGACTCAGCTTTTTTTTATTCCAGCCATAACAAGTGAAGTTTCTGCCATTTCCTCCCTCAACATCCCCGTGCAATAAAGCATTCATAAATGTGTAAAAATTTCTGTAAACGAAACAGAAACTGAGGCAAAGTTCTGAAGTTGCGAGTTGCTACTTTGTTGCCCTGGGCTGGCAATACCGTTAGGGAAGGGGAAAATCGGGTAACGAGATTGCGCTCATAAATGCATAAAACCTTGATTAACCCAAAGGAGTCCGCCGAAAACAGCTGCCCAGAAAGAGATCAGAAAATAGGAGGAGGATTCCACAGATCCCAAAAAAAAAGGTAGTTGAAAATCAAAATCAAAATCGAAAACTAAAACTCAACCGTTTACATTTTAATTGGATTTTAAAAGCTGCCACCGAAAAAATCCATTCTCTAATGCATTTCTAATATCCTGAATGAAAATCGTTTGCGTCATCACCTGTACGCCTCCCCTATTTTGGAAACCCTTTTCCAAAAACCATTCTTTAATTTGCTCCAAACACACCCCCCAAAAAAAATCGAAAGGTAAAAATGTTTTGGTAGCAATTTAATTAGCCGCGGATTCCATACTCCAAAACGCTCGGTGATTAATTAAACCGCATGAGATGAGGAAAGTGTTGATCCTTTTGGTGCCTATTTGGGGGTTGCAAAGGATCAAAAAGGAACAACAGCTGGCCAGGGTTGTCAAGTGCTATTCGAACGATGTACAAAGTGGCGACATCTATACTGTTTCAATCTTCCAATTGGTTACACTGAAGCGACATCTGTTGCTCGTAGTGTTATGTTACAGGATTCTGGTTAGAAGATCTGCGAACATCTTATTGGTATAAGGATATAGGGGAGGAAAAGGTGAAACAATGTTCCAAGAATGGGATCTGTAGGGACTGCTTTTGTAATTATTGTAAGGCGATTGAATTTGCAAGATACATTTTGTTATTATTTATCGGTTAATTTTATAGTTACCATTTTGCTACCACCTGAAAATAGTCGATATGTGCAGCAGATGTAGTCAAGGTCTTTTCCGTAAACCCATTGATTTATAAAATCCTTCACATTCCCAGAAGAAGTCTGCCAACGGAAGCATCCGTAAAAACCGAAAGTCTTATCGACTGTTGGCACAATTAATTATATATTTTATGTGCTCGCTGTTCATTAACACTAATTGGAATTCAAAACACCCGCTACCGAACGAAAAGAAACGCGTGACCTCTGAACTCCGGGAAATCGGAAAGGGAATATTGGTAATACCAAGTCCAATCACGTACGCCCTGGACAAGTGTAAAACGTGATGGACTGGATCGGCGGTGGGTTTTACCGGCGATATCGTAAGCGTGAAATCTGTCAGATTCGAAACCCAGATCTCAATCTATTGTCATCACATTAATTTGCCTTTTTATGGGTGTTCCTTTTTGGCCATATCTCCAGGACGCGATCGAAAAGCGGAAATTGTCACTTTTGCTTGTGAGGTTAATTTTCTCAAGAGACTTCATTTTCGACTCGATCAGCGTGGCTGAAATGAAAGCGAAGTGAAACCGCTGGCGATGCAGTTAAAGTTAAAGATGAATCCGCGAGATGCTTTTTGACCGTAGTGCCTTTCGCACGATCGCACCTAATAACGGTAATTTACACGCACGCTACTTGCGATAATTGCGACGCCAAATGTGCTGACAGGCACACAGGATACGACTTCTCGATCCTCCGCGGCCCCAAAGGCTAAAAGTCGAGAAAACCAAAACCTTAACCAAAACCGTAGCCAAAGTCAAAGTCAAAGTCGAACCGCGCATCCCGATGAACTGAGTGAGATAACAGCCAGCTAAATCAGCAGCAAAAGCGGCAGAAGCTTCGGTTATTAAAAACGGCAGTCGGAATCGGACCTTCCCAGATGGAAGATGGAGCGGGAGATGTACACTGTCCAAAAAGAACGGACCTCAAATCAAACACAAAATCTTAAAATTCTAACGTTGTACACTGGTGTTAAAAAAAAATCCAATAGCAGCATTCCTAATGGGTTTTTAAACATACATACTTAATTAATAGAACGATAATTAATAGAAAGATAATTTTAGGTGAAAGAATTCTTACTTTTTGGTTTTTATAACAGAAACTTTCCGATTGTATCGATACTTTCCCAACCCCAACTTTGTATAAAAACCAGAAATTCGTAGGCTTCAAAGGACAATTCATGGCATGGTGAATTATGGTTGATATTTTTTATCCTAGTGCAACAAGATTTAATCAAAAATAAATGTTACTATAGATATCAATTATACCTGGTTTTTTAGGTTTTTTTCCAGTGTATTTTGGAATCGTGGCGGTGGCGGCAATGCTTGATTGTTGTGGTAACCGAATATGCCGCACCAAGTGCGAAAAAATGTTGTCGAGGTGTGAAAAATAACTGGCCAAGAGTGCGTACTTGGTGGGTTAAGGGGGTTCAGGGGGTCCCGAAGGGTCTGTGGATGGGCAACAGGGTTAAGGTGCTCAGGATGAGGGGATGGTGGAGGATAGGATGGGCCCCTTCGGTTGGGCACGCATCGAAGGTGTTGAAAGCTCTGCGCTTCTAAGAAACGTTTGTCGGTGTTGAGATTTCGGTGGCTTGATAGCCGCTACTATATGTGCATGTATGTATATATAAATATATATATATACATATACGCGTGCACGTAAAGACCCCTTCTCTTCAGATGATATTTGTCGATGGTGTCGAGGTGTTAAAATTACCCCAAAGGTACATAATAATTACCTTAAATTGCAAAAACAGCGAAATAAATTTCCAAACGGTGCGAAAGAGACGGGCTGCCTGCCGGTAAACTGAACCTTTGGCGGTCTTTTTGTTTTTGAAGCGTGCCGCAGCGTTGCCAGACTTCTTTCTTCAGGGGCTAAAAAGGGTAAAAAAAAATTTAAAAAAAAAAAACACTCAAGAAGGGCATGCAAATGGGGCGTGTGTCATCCATAAAAATTGAATGCTGTCGCCGTAATTAACGGGCGGCTAAAAGGTGCAAAAGAGACGGGACAACCGGCGAGCGAAAGAGATGGCGCGACAACAGCGCCCAAGAAAAATGACAGTCGAAGCTGTTTGGCCAGCGGCCGATCTATTTAATTAATTGCTAACAAGTTAAAAATGTTTAAATGGTTTATGGCGCAGAAAAAGTGCAAAAAAAGAGGGCAGGGAGCAGCATCCTTGGTGGTAGCCCTTTGGGGTGTTTTTTTTTTTTTTGTTTGTCGAACCACCAAGACAAATTGTGATGGCTTTTGTTGTTCTGCTGGCTTTTTGATGCCCCCTTGGTTGTTAACCCGCTGTTGACTTGGGGGTCAGAAAGTGTCGCTGTTTTTTTAAGGGGCACTGGTAAAATATGGGGCTTTGATATTTCTTAAAGATTACTTTTTTTGGTGGAATCCTTTAATTTGTCATTTATCACTGATTGTGTTTTAAGCAAATACGGCTAGAAAAACTACCCATTACTTATCGTTTACCAAATAATACACTTAATTAAATGGTTATAAAATATATATATTTTTATATATACAACTTTTAAAATTGAGCTAAAGCTATGC